GATGATCCCAAGGGGCTTTTCCAACCTGTATTGTCCTATGATTCTATGATTCTGTGACAAGTGTTGAGTAATGACGCTGGAGGATGCTGGTTTGGCAGCCTCAGGGGCCGTAATCCTCCGTTTGTCACAACCAAAGAGGCCATGTACCCGTTCCCACCCCATGCTCCATCCCTCAGCTCCAAACCTGACCTGCACGAGCCATAGCAGAAGCGACCGGGATATATAATTGCTTTGTCTCTTAATTCCTTGCCCTTTCTATAAAGTACCTGGCATCGCTCGGGGTGGAACACTCGTCTGCTGGAACTGGATTATCCATCGTGTTTACTAAGAGAAGCAACTTTTCTTTGCAGTGTTCTCTGGCTGCTTCCATGTGCTCTTCAGGGTTTGCACATCACCGGGGCACCCGTCACGCGACCGACTGCCACCAGCTTTGCCCGGCATCTCGGCTTTTCTTTATCCCAGCCGTCAAACTTCTCAATCATGTTCTCGGCCCTATTTTTGGAATAGATGCTGTCTCAGTCATATTGTCTATTTTTGACGTAGTTGCTGTCTCAGTCATATTCACTGCCCTATTTTTGGAACAGATGCTGTCATTTTCTGTACGTTTGTATCGTAGAGTCCTGAAGGTTGGACAAGATATCATGCCTAACACAGGAGGGCTCCGATCTCTGATATTTGTCTCATTAATTTTAGTCTGGGTCAATGATGTCAATTTTTTGGGGGGGTTACACTACATCTTTGGAGTTTTGTTAGACTACATGCATAATTACAAGTGAGTTTTCTCTCTTACAACCCTAGTAAATTGTTATTTAGAGTTGAGTACTCCATTCCAGTCATTTACCCTGGTAAATTATTATCAGAGTGCAGGTTCCCGTTAATTCCGTTTCTTGTGAAAAAGACAGGAGATGCATCTCCCCAGGTTGGGCTGACCTGACCCTCTGCACTGCCCATAAATGAGAACACGCCACGCGCACACTCGCATGCCCGCGGCTGTCACGCGTGCCCCCGCAACAACTCACTTCGCTCGCGGTCCGTGGAGGTTGATGTGCCAGATGGAATAGAGCTGGTCCCGGAGGAGGCGCTCCCACCTCTTCAGCTCTCTCCTCAGCAGCCAGAAGCTTTCAGAAGTATTTTCAGGTGCACGCGGTTGTGGAGGGCAGCTCGTCGTCCTGCCTTACAGCAGCCGTGCTCTTGGGGGCAGGAATTAAAGAGGGAGCGTTCTCTCTGATGCACAGCCTGAGTCACGCAGCTTCCAAAAGATTAGTTTGCTCATTACCGAATAAAATGGTTGCAGATGTGCTTTGCTGCGATAACATCTCTGACCGGAGATGCCTTGGCTTGGTCTGCTGCCTTTACTGAAACATAGGACGGAGAGCAAAGTTGGCCGAGCGATACCAAACTCTTGGTGCAGGACACTCCGCGCTTTCTTCATGTCTTGTGTCGTGGGTTAAAGGGGAGCTTGCGACACCCGACTTTAGCCTCATAAGAAACCAGTTCCCATTAGCTTCCGTGGGTTTTTTTTCTTCTCTGTAGTGTCTCTGTAAGCACTTTTTAATAACGAGACCTTATTATCAAACGCTGGGTTGCATTGCCAATGTGCGGCTGTTCTGCCTTTTGCAAGCAGACAGGGTATACAACTTAATTCTTTTGCCCGCAGTACTAATCACCTTTGATTGGTAGTATTAACCTTAAACACGCTGCTCCTGGCTTGTTCCCAAGTTAGCTGTAGGAGAGCCAGAGCTGCAACTCCTGGGTGCAACGGGGAGGGATTTGAGCCTGTACATCTCCTGTTACGCTATGGCAGCATAAATCGTGAGGAGTAATGCGAGTAGGTAGTAGAAGTCGTTTAAATTAGTGTCTTCCAATGGTGTTTGCACGAGTTAGAATGCTTGAAGACTCATTAGCTAATAATTCATAGCGGATACCTGCCGTGCGTGACTTAGTAGAGCGGTGAGTAGGGACGGACCCCGTTTGCCAAACCAGGTTTGGTTTGGCATCCACTATATTGACGGAGAAACGTTTGGAACAAGCATGTTACCCAAAGTTCCTTCTGTAGCAGAAGACCTTCAATCAGGAAGTAGGAGACAAAGAAAAAATGAAAATAAAATTCATCAATCGTACCTTACTGTACCGTGTGTCAAGTGATCAGGTTAAGATTGTCTTTGGTTGTGCTGGTCTAGTTGACAGAGCGTCTATCGGAAGCGTTTGTTTCCGTGATGCAAAAATGCAAGTGACCTCTTTCCATTAGTGAAAAGGAAGTTTTGCACCAAAACTAGCCTGAAATTTGAAAACCTCATCAGTGCTTGAAGTGGGTTGTGAAATGAGCAATGCGATTTCTTCGTGTTACTCCTAATGCCTTGTTTGTGCTTATGGATGCGTTGGCCTTGGTTGACGGTAGGTTCTGCTTTTGTAATTTAATTTCTGTCTTATTATAGGCACAACAGCTTACAAATCTAATAATACATTTCTGTGAGTATTAGTTCAGGAGGCATCTGTTCCTCAAGGAAGCCTTTATTCATAAAATACGCACGTTTATGGAAGATCTTCTGCAAGGCTAGAGATGCGATGCCGTAGAGGGCCGGTGTGATCCTTTGGGTCGGGCAAATCTGAATGCGTGCCTGGAAAGAGACATGAACAAACTTCCGTCAAAAGATGAAAAGAAAAGAAAATAGCCTCTAAAAATAAGGGTTTGTCTGGTCAGAGGGACAGTGACCCAATGGCGAATGTTTCCCTGATAGCTGAGGAGGGTGAGTTTGCAGCAAGTTTGCAGAAGGAATCATTTATTCATGAGTTTCTGTGGGTGCGTGACTTTCTTTACTCCCCTGTCACCGCATGGGACAGCGATGTCCTGTGTCAGCACAAATGAGCTGCCCAGATGCTCAGAGCTCGGTGGAGATGCTGTGGTTTGTGTCGGTTGAGGTTTTTCCTCCTCTAAGGAGGTGCAGCCTTAGATGCCAAGAGATGTGCTCTCTTTTTTTGCTCTGTTCTGGCCATTAGATCATAGAATCCTAGAATGTTGGGGGTTGGAAAGGACCTCAATAGACCATCTAGTCCAACCCCCCACCAGAGCAGGGTCACCCAGGGCAGCCCCACAGGAACGCGTCCAGGCGGGTTGGAAAGTCTCCAGAGCAGGAGACTCCACACCCTCTCTGGGCAGCCTGGGCCAGGGCTCCGGCACCCGCACAGCCAACAAGTTTCTCCTCACGTTGAGGTGGAACTTCCCATGTTCTACCTTACACCCATTATTACCTTGTTCTATTGCTGGGCACCACTGAGAAGGGATTGTCCCCTTCCCCTTGACCCCCACCCCTCAGATATTTCTATAGGTTCATAAGGTGCCCTCTCAGCCTTCTCTTTTCAAGACTAAAGATCAGATGCTTCAAAGGCTGGACAACGTGACGTAAATGTGGTGTTGGGGGGGGGATCCATCATGAGCTCACTTAAATCTGCGTCTCTTAAACCAGAGATGGTTGGACGTCTTGCACAGACGACGTGGGGCCCTTGTGGCGGTGGGGGACGGATGAAGTGAGATAGGTGTGAATGACACCCGTGGGCAAACCGTGCCACGAAAGGGTGAAAATCCCCCAATTTCACCCCAGAAACTCCTGATCAACCCTGTACTGGCAAATCACAGGAGGAAGGCATCCAGGGATATTCTTCCATGCATCCATCCTTTATTCAGTGTTACTTTCCTTTCTCCTGACATGGCCCTTCCCGAGTGTTCAGGTGGTGGAGAAATGACAGATAATGCAGCAAACGTGCTATTCCTCTGAGCTGAGAAACCTTTAAGAGGGGAGAGCGCAGTCAGCTCAGATATGTTAATTTATGTGCGGAGAGCAAATGATGCCAGCAGAAGCAAACCTCACTTAATTCTTAGCAATTACCTGCGATTTATGACAGAATTACCTCAGTGTAGCTCTTGGAAGAATCTTAATCAAACTGAACTGGGGTGACAGGTTGTCATCCAAGAGCAAAGATGTCTTGTGAGAGAGAGAGGCATGGAGGGGTGCGATTTTATTCTGCACCTTTGTAGGTGAGCGATTTTTAATGCCATTTCTGGAAAGCAACGGGAGGTTTGAAGGAAGTAGTGGCAGCCTAGTCTTAGGAGAAAGAAAACGTGTGCCGAGTTCCTTCATCCATTCAAATAAAGTTCATGATGTCTCTTTTATAAGGGATCTTGGAACCACATTGTCCCATCTCCACGTCCTGTGGCTGGCTCACTGTGGGCTCTCAGATTTAGATGGGATCTCTTCCTGCAGCTCTCTGAAAGTAAGTGGCGATGTGTCCTGCCAGATGGCAGTCTCAAAACTGGTATTTTTGTAGTCTTTTTTCACTTCTCACGCTTTTTGTTTTTCTAAAGGACTTCGCTTGGATGCCTTGAATCGCACGTGTTAGTTTAAAAGACACTACAGGTTGGGTTTTTTTATAAATGAGTTGCAACATTTAGGTCTGATCCTGAAGATGCCTCATGTAGCACCGTGTTCGTTGCCTTGTAATATTTTGAATATTAGAAGACGTTTTGCAAAGCTTGAGTGTCCCTTGTGCAAGCCTCTGGTTTACATATTTATTCTGTTTGCTTCTGCTGAGGAGCTCTACATCGCCTATAACAATATCTCTGACCTGAGCCAGCTGACCTGGTTGGATCACCTTGAGGTTTTGGACCTGGAAGGGAACGATATTGAGGACATCAACCAGATGTGGTACCTGGGACTTTGTGGCAAGCTGAGCCGCCTGACGGTGGAGGGCAACCTTGTCTGTCTGAAGCCAAACGCGAAATCTCCAGAGGTGAGGACTCGGTTTGCCCTTACTGTGTGAATTTTTGGCGGTGCTTTTTTCATCTGAGTTGGAAACGAGAAAGGTTTCTGCGTCTTCCTGACGTATCACTCTGCCTGATGGCATGGGATGCGTCTCTGTCTTTCGTTTCTGTTGATTTTGTCCTCTTGTGGGTATTGTAAACAAAAAATAAGAGGAACGCTAGTAAAGACTTGAAACTCTTTCCTTCTTACCTGTGAGAATGGGATTAAACTGGAAATCCATTTTGGTTTAATGGAATTAAAGTAGAAATCAAAGTTTTGGGGCTCTTCTTACCTGTGAGAATGGGATCAAACTAAAAATCCATTTTGGTTTAATGGAACTAAACTAAAAATCAAAGACTCGGGACTCTTTCCTTCTTACCTTTGAGAATGGGATTAAACTAGAAAGGAAGACCAAGGCGAGCATGGACTCCAGCTTTATGGAGCCTTCTAGTCCACAGGGATGTTGCAGTGGGTTAGAAAGTAGCCACTGTTTTTCTTACGGGATGGGTCAACCGCAATGTGTCAGTTAGAGATATTGTCTTTGGGCTTTCACATTTCTTTTGGAGATTCTGTGGTCCAACCATAAGTTCTCCAGTTCTCCATAAGTTCTGCTTCAAAAAAAACCCAAACAAAAAAAACAGGGATTGTGTTGTTAATTTGTGCAAAACGTTGTGTTTGCGGTTTGTCCTGGATTTAGACTTGGAAGCTGAGGTGCTGTCACTCGAATTGATCGTGGAGTAGACGTGCATGTGTTGTAAATCTTTGTGCTTCTTAGATACGTAAGTTACTTGCATTTTTCAGATGGAATTGTTGGCTCGGTCATATCCCTCAGTAAAAGGAGCCACAGAAGGTGGTACTTCAGCTGTCATAATTTTCCTGTCTGAAATCTAAAAAGTAAATATTATATGCTTGCCTCTCTCTTTTGAATCGGAAAGAGTATGCTTCAGAGCCCACGCTTGTAACTGTTTGTAACCACAATGATTTCTTTGTCAACATTTCTCCCTTATGGAAGATGCAGTCATGAAAAAATGTATTTCTTTGGTAAGAAAGCGCTCTCTGCTTCTGAGGGACAAATTTGTCTCCCGGGGAGACAAATACAACTGGCGACACTTCCTTACTAGAGCTTCCTGCCACGAGATCGGCGCAGGACATCCTAACATTTCTGCTCCCCT